TTGTGTGCAACTGAGGAGCCGGAATCGGAGACATCTTCACTGTTGCGAGACATTCCAACTGACGATGTGGACGACAGTAATGGTCGGTTGACGGAGAGCGGTGCAGGGAGCATGAGGAGCGCATTCGAGTCATGTCTTGGTCGTGGGTTGAGGTAATTGCTAGTGTCTACAGTGCTGTTGTCATTATTGCTCGAGGGCTGTGGATGAGTGACATCTGAAGTCGAGGCGATTGAATAACGGTTGCTATCCCTGTCAAAACGTGTCAGCGTCTACCTTGATAGACAAGAAAAAGATTAAAAACGTACTTCTTATCATAGTACGCAGAGTCCCTCGACTGTGTACCATTCTTCCACCTCCTATCCCTCTCAAACTCGGCCCATCTCTTCATGACGATATGTGTAGCATCAAACTCTCCCTCCTTATCACCAGTATCCGCCTTATCAACACCTTCAATCTTCCTAGTCTGACCCCAGGAGAAATCATCGAAATGCCAAAACGCGTACGCAGGAAGGATACCGTTCCAAATGGGTAAAGAAAGGAGGTATACAAGCATCCACCCGACGTAGGCGATCTTCCGCGAGGTAACAACAATAAGCAGGCCAGGAAGACCAAGCACGATGGCGAGTAGGATAAGTGGTATTGTGGTATTTGGCCCGCCAGGAATGATGGATGATACGATGAGGTATAACGTGAATGCAATAGCGGCAGGAAGAACGAGTGTACCGGCCAATTCCATTCCAACGACGAATTGCATCGAGAAACAGAAAGTTCCGCACAAATCTCGCACCAAGATGAGTTCAGCAAGATTGTGGATAGTCGAGTTGATCCAACGCCGACGTTGCGAAAGCAAAACACGGAAGGTATCAGGAACGACAGTCTTGCAAACAGCCTGGGGACAGAACATGTTTTTGCGCTTGGGGAACGTTTTGAGGAGGAGCGTCGTGAGGTATCGATCTTCACCGAGAAGAAGCAGATTCTTCTTGTGCAGAGTATCGACCACGTTTTCGGAATAATGTTCCACAATGTCGGGGTTAGCAAGGATAGGTACCCAATATCCTGAGTCGCCTTTAGGGGCCTTGATACGATACATGCTGAAGCAACCAGGAAGACAGGTAACACCACCGAACATCGACTCGAACGCCTTCGTCATGTGGTGGGAAATATAATACTCAAAGACTACCAGTCACAGTATCAGCAAACGACGCAAAGCATAAATGCAAAAAAAAAATCAGCTCACCCTGCATCATAGTAACAAAAGTCTCCGCCTTATTCGCAATCTTCGTCTCCCCACAGAGTCCCATGATCTCCTCATCATGCACCATACAACTAACCATCCTAGTCATCGAATCCGGGAACACCTTCGTATCCGCATCAACACAAAGCACCAACTCGTACCTATCCGGACTGATACCCGTGACTCTCCAGATTGAATTGAAAAATTCATACTCAAAGGTCGTCATCCGCTCATCAAACATGACCTTCTGCAAGAACGCCATGAGCACGATCTGACTGTCTCGCTTGCCACGATTACCAGGTTTAGGATCGTTCGCCTCGAGTGGATTACCGCACTTGGCCACCAGGACAATAGGCACTCGTTGTTGTTTGGATCGTTCCACTGTCGCGTCGTCGTACTCATAGAAACCCGCGTAAACCTTCGCCATATTATGCCTCTTATGTCCATCGGCAATGGCGACGTATGAATGTGGCTCGACCTCATGAGGGGCTATAACAAACTCCTTCATCATACCCAAACAGATTTCTGGCGTCGTAAGATCGTTACCCTCTCCCTTCACCATACCATCCGCAATGACCAAGATAAGCTTGTGTGAATTCGGGTAATCCGTCGTAGCGAGAGAATCGAGGGTTGTGCGTAGACCTTCCACAGACTCAGAGTAGGCAGTAACAAGACACATCGTATGAGCAAGTGGGAAATTAAATGGCTCATAATCCGGAGGTGGTTGTGGAACAACGTTCTGTAGGGGGAATGGACAAGGGGACTCCGCAAGTGACATTGTGCTCCTTGATCGATACCCAGGTGAATCCGGCGGGGTCCCTTTTTTCCCTCCTCCACTTGTTGAATACATGGTGGATCGTTTCCAGTTATTATTCGAAGTAGAATCCAAAACGCCATACTGAGTCGTCGGACGTTGACCTGGTTTGAGAAGGAAATTATCCGAAGGTGTGAACCGCGAATGACTAGGAAGGAAAGTCTTGCGTTTTTCCTTCAGCCCATTCTTCCCAACGTTTGGACGATATTCGCTTGGTGCAGGCCGGTAAATATCATTGGACCAATTCTCGATTTCCGCTGAACGCTGCATCCGCTGCTCATAAGTCTCTCTCGGGAAGTTTCCTATCCTCCATGAAAAGAACCAAGCGAACATGACGGCCATGCCAAAACGGATTGCGACGACGCCGATGATGAATACGAGGGAAAGATAGAGGACTACATCGGATGCGACACATCCGATACTGTTGGTGTCGATATAGCCAATCGTGACAAGATCTTGAAGACAGTGCCCGACGTTTTGTTGGTTGGTACGTAGGAACAACATGGTGAGGTCTTTTGTATTGTAGGTACCATTAGGGGTCTTCATTTCGTCAAAAAGGGCGGGGTAGTTGACCTGAGCTCTGCTGAGCCAATTGAGCTTATTGAGATCGAGAACGGATCTTGGGTTGAAAGATGAGGAGATAATAGCACCATGAACGTCAATGGAACGTACGATTCATAAACAGCCAAATTGCGTTTTGTGTTGTGAAGGTCATCCCAAGTGTAGTAAACCTGACCCATTGGACTCATCTGGCTGAACTCTGTCTTCGCCTTTGTCGCCGTATGACAACTGTAGCTCGACTCGTATCCCGTCAAGTTGGCCCCCTGATTCCCATACTGGCTATAAATGTTGCAAGGGAAATACCAATCCAACTGACTCCCAGATCCAGTGATGCTTGAGCTCGAAGCCTTGCTGATGAGGCCCAAACATTTCTGGTTCACTTTCTGGAACAAAAAGGAGGCATCATTTCCGGCGGCACCCCAGGTAGCATTGAGGACAGGATTAGAGGTGCCATCAAAGGTCGTACCCGCAGAAGGGTGCTTGAACTTGGAGAAGTCGTAGTCGTAGCCATTGATGACGAGGGAACTGTTTCCGATAAAACCGTCTCCGATTGCGCCTCCGTGGTATCGGTTACGAGGTGTACCGCAGACACTTTCCGTGAATCCGAAAGTGAGGAAACCGACGCCGGCCATGAGACAGAGAATGATACTGATAAGTCCCATTTTTTCTCTCCATGCGCGCTGTTGTTCAGGAGTGCGGATACCTAGAAGTGATTGCCATAATGAATGCCCGAGGATGACGGGAGCCACAGACCCACGTACCACATGCTTTCATTAATGCCGGTGGGACGAAGATGGTAATAATAAAGCAGTATGTCATCCAAGGCCCGCCTGGTCCAGGGCCCCTCCAGCAACCTCTTTTCTTGGGAACGTCGGGTACATTGCTGGGTATTGGGGTCAAGCCTGACTGGCGTTTTCGACGGAGAGTTGCACCTCGTTTAAAGAGGGCCAAACCAGACTCATGTTGATCTTCCTCACGGCCTAGAAGCGAGTGTCCTCTTCGTAGGGGTTCTCGTGGATAGTTGCCAGTTGCTACAAAGATGAAAGAAGAGGCTTTAGAAAGTCTTGAAAAAGAATATGGGAATACGTACAAGAAGGCATGACACCTATTCTGGGCGCCTCATCCTCCATCTGTGCAGCATGGGTTCGGTAGTGCCATTGTCTATGACCTGGTTCAATTTTTTCGCGGTCAGGTTTGACGAGACTCTTCTTTCGAGCAACTCTGGAAGGATCAAAGTAGTCCGCGGCTGAACCCTCTGGGTCTGCTGGTGGAGAAAGGTGGGACTGGTATGCAGAAGGCATTCTTCGATGATTTGGACGATCGAGTTGAGCCTGACGGTCGCCTCGCTCTTGATTTTGAAAGGAAACGCTGGTCCTAGTGTCAGTTTGATATAGCTGAGGACCTGGTGAAGGAGCTGCAGGTGGTGGCAGTGGTTTCTGTAAACGAGCTGAGGGTTGAGTGCTTGGAGGGCGTGCTGCGCGAGGCGGTCTTTGCTCGCCGCGGTGCTGCATGATGTTAAGGAGTGGCGGTCAGGACGATGTGGAGATGAGGGGAAAAGGAGAGTGGGATGAGTGGGATGAGGGTGGGTGTAAAGGGAGGAGCAGGTGATGATGGTGTCAGTTTGCAATAGTGTCTGACTGACCAAAGTGTAAAAACGAGGTTTCTGTGCCGTCCAGTTCGCCGCGCAACTTTGAATAGGAACTGTTCGATTTTTGTCGATGACAGGACTTTTCTTGAAAAAATCTATGCCAGATGATGCCGCAAACATAATTATCAAGAAAAAAACTTCAATTAGGCATGTGTGGAGGATAACTACCTCACGATATTATCTGTGTATCTCGGGAACAATCTTGTGGTTTTTGGTTGCATTTAAAAGGTCCATAAAACGGGTTTTCAGGCGCACGCGAATTTCTTTGGCTCTAAGAGGGTGTTTGACGAAAAATGGACGTGGCCCGAAAATTTTGGCGAAGGTCATTTGCAAAACGGACAAATTTCGACATCTCTGACCAGACAAATTACCCATTTTTATCAAACGGCCTTTGGCCGCATATTTTCTACGGGTAGAGATTTGATATGGAAGATATTCATGGAGGTATTCAGAGGTAGAATGACAAATCTTTGGAAAGTCAATATACGGGATGCACAAAAGAAATATTCCGTTGACTTGCCGTTGACTTCTATTCTGGAGCACAGTCTGAACAGGGATACAGTGCGATGTGAAGAAGCTTGTACCCATGCATACATAATCTTTGCTAGTATATCGGTTAGTACACGCGCCTGTCATGCATATCGTGTGTATACATGTACTGATCCGCGCGAAAGCTGGGTTCGACTCCCAGGCAAAGAGTAAAGGTATCTAGTTTTCCTTTTACTGGGAGACCACAGTAGAGGAGTCGGATATAATTTTGAAGATAGCCAGCTGTTGCGTGTAGGATGGTCGTCGAGAACTTCCGGAGTCAAGGAGAAGTCGAAAATTTCAAGAATGACAATATCCTGTTGCATAGGAAATTAACTCTCTAAACAAGTCGCAAAAGATAGAAAGATACCTCCGACCCGGATGAATTCGCAGACACATAATTTGAGTAGAGATATGGAAAATGTTCAGCAGTGGAATTTCGAAAAATCTTTAGAACGTCTAGCTATGTGGGTCCCGGGATGCATATGCACAAAGAACTTGATCACAGATACGCGATATTTCGTATTCCGAGAGAAAAGGCATAGGTCTACAGTGGGCTATGTGAAGTGAGGTGTCCTTGCAAACATCGTCTTTGCTAGTATATCGGTTAGTACACGCGCCTGTCATTCCTCGTAGGCTGACAGCAGAGGTGGCAGAAGAACGAGTGCCCACAAACCATTTTTTACCGGAGACCCTGGCGAAACCACGGTAAAAATGCGGCTGGCTTGTAGAAGTAAGTCCCACACGCCAGACATTTAGGTCGAGGCTCGACCTTAGGTAGTCTAGCAGGAGTCGAAATTTTGAAGTTTGACAACATCTCAAGGTCGAAATCTCAGAGAATGCGTAATAATGGACTTTTGGATTGAGTGCCAAATTTGGAGAAGACAAAAAAACAGAGATGATGCAGCATCATGATCATGATGGTCCACATTGGACAGCTGAGAACCTTGACACAGGTTTAGAGATTTCTGAGAGAATAGGACAGAGCCATAACATGAAGATCATTGATACACAGCTCTAAGCATTAGCGCGCAAGAAGCATGAACTTCAGCAAAAGGGCATCAAGACAAACGCCATTGTGGTTTGAAGGAGACAGCGGCTAGGCACAGGTTGTGATTTGTTTGGCCTCTTCAAGTAACCACGAGTCTTCCACGCTCTCCACCGTGACTTCAACATGGCGGCGCTCAACATTTCGAATTCGCCAATAACACAGGTGTCGCAGCATGCATTACCAGCGCATGCTAACCTACAGCCTCAGCTCCTAACGAGACTTTCGTTAGACTTGCGTGGCAAGCGCTTCGACGTGGACCGCGAGACGATCATGAACCTTCCTGAATCCGTCTTGCTATGTCTTTTCCCGAATGGTCTTGTTTTAAGTAGGCAGAGTGTTGCTTTGTCAGATGGAGGGGAGAACGAAGAGGACGAAGAGGTCTATGCTGTTGACGCAAGTGTCGTTTATCAACTTGCACAATTTCGGTTTTTCTAACAGAATGATTGTTATCTTTATAGTTCGACCCGGATTGCTTTCAATTCGTTCTCAACTTCTTCAGAAACTCTTCAGAGACCTTCTATGGGACCGCTACGTCTCCAGGCTTGTTCGCTGCCCAACAACATCTGTTAGATGGGCCAACCAACGATTTTGGTCCCTCTCCTTCGCAAAATCCTCTTCTCACTAAACAAGCCATCATCGTTCTTCGAGAGGAACTCGAGTATTTTTCTATACCAGTAAAAGACATTGACGCCCTGACGGACCAGAATGGCATTGCAAATGAAACACTCTTGGACATCAAGAGGCGGTCGGGTGATTTTCTTATGGAAAAACGAAGCATTTTTACCGCACTGCAGCGGAACGTTAATAAAGAAAACAACGTTGCGGAACAACATCTTATAGATATGCTGTGCATGAGGTACGAATGACGTACCCTTGGACTGCTTTGTTATGACAATTAACTTTCAAAATAGTGGGTTCAACCGCGACGATGAATGGGGTTTCAGAGCGTTAGAGCCGTCGCGGTGTTGCATATCCTCCATCGCGCTAGTTTTATTAAAAACTGGCATCGTACACCACCCTAACGGGGAGAAGCCAGTGGAAGTCGATTATTCTCAAATGGGAACTGCTCAAAAGCTGCTTTTGTTCTGGAGGAAACCTGCTGTATGTCGCGTTTTTTTTCTTTGAATGTGCCGTCTTTCTTATATTTTTTTGGTGATAGCGAAAGTGTTGGTGGGATGGGATTGAGGTTGAATTACCAGCGACAGACAATTCACCGCTTAAATCAGTGAAGCTTTGGGCTCGTCGTGTTTGGACATTGGAATTAAGTTTGGTAAGACCGCGATGACCCTGTGTTATGTATGTCGTCTGACAAGCAATTCAGGTATGACCAGGATTTTACGGACTTTCTCTGCATTTGGCTTTCTCTGGTACATACCTCCTCACGGATACCCTCCCTGTCTCGTTGGTCACACGGAGACCAATCTGGGCGCTAAGAACAGACACGTTGTGAAGCGCCTGTCTGCGATTCGGCCGCAGACAACCTCCCTTTGTTATGTTTATGTTTCAATGATCAACATCACTTCTTGCATACCCTACATTACTTACAACCTCATTTACTATTATGATATCTATCATACCTTTACCCTTACATGCCCGAGCACTCCACATGATTCCCAACCACGAAACAAAGGATTCAATTGCTTGGGTTTGTTGGCATAAACTTGGCATCTTGATTGTGATAGATCCTTTCGGAAATTCAACGCCGGCTTCATCAATGGACCGTGCTACTAAAAGTGCTACGCGACCACAAAAGTGGCGGCACATCTCTATCTTTCACCCAAACCACAGCTGCCTCACGGTGACCGTGAGGCCAGATCGATTAAGTCTCATCGACATCATCAGTCCCCTCAGCCTCCGAAGTCCGGTCTGTTTTTAAAGTCTCTCGTTCAAGCCTTCTTTCTTGCGGAGTCATCCTTCCTATGACCTCAGTTGCTCCATCATATACCCCAACTAAATCCAAACGGTCGACAAGACATGGGAAACATACCGAAAGACGTCACGCTCCTCCAAACGCCTTAGAAAAGCTCGTTGTGAAGACCGCTGGTCTTCATCTGGAACCGGGTAGGAAGACTGGATCGCCTCGCCCCGAGGTTCCTGCGGAGACCCTACCTGTGATGCTGGGAAATCGTACACGACGGTCGCGTTGCACGCCAGAGTTTCTCCTCGAAATTTCGTCTCGCGACCCACAAGAGCTATATGAAGAGCATGGCAAGAAACTGAAGATCATCACAGGGTCCGAAGCTATTATTTTCTATAAGAAATTCTTGGGGTATGTTTTTTGTGTGTGTGATAAGTATGTCAAGGACTGAATGTGATCCGCTAGAGGAAACAGTACAGCTGAAATTCTAGGCGCAACAGACGGTGTCCTTGCAAGCGAAGTCCCTCCAAATGTTGTATTCGCTGTGGCCACGGGTGATTCTGCTGGTGGGAGGAAACATGCCGATTACTATGCAGCATGGCCTAGAACAGAGGTGAGTTAAGCTTGAGCTGACTATCGAGGCCGATCATCCTGACTTACATTCCAGAGCGCCCGCGATACTGTCCAGGCCAAACGACTAAAGCGTCTTCACTCTCAATTCCGTAAACTGGCTCGAGTTCTTGATAACGAGTTCAAGCGAGCAAGTGTATATGGTATTGCAGCACCTGTACTGGCTCAGGTGCTTGAAGACTTGCTGCCCACTCAAGCTGCGCCAACGCCGGAGCACGAAGCCCCCAAACCGCCTCCCAGCCCTCAACTCAGCATCCTTCCTCCACCTCCAGAGTTGAAGATCGACGGGAAAAGTCCAGTGTATGTTGTCGACATAAGGCTCGCTCCGAGTTTGCGACTTATGCTTTGATCAACAGGTCAGCTACCGACAGCGTTATGTCACTTCCATACCTCGATTTCGTCAGGAACGTTCCGAACGCCCATCGAAGTATGATCATGGCACAGTTGTTTTCTATATTGACGACCTGACCTCTTCTTATTCTAGTTCCTTTGAGAGTGACAAATCCTGACAACAGACTCTCCGTGTAAGATGCAATTTCTTTGTCTAATTCCCTTCCCGACTAACCAACCATCTTGAAGTTTGTCGTCTGTATCTCCCACGACGTCAGCGAAACCTTCTCAACAAGTTCCCGTTAATAATCCTCTAGTTACACAGGACACCACTAGTAAGGAAGGTCTTGTCCATGCTCGAGCATCTCGCTCATCATCTGGTTCGCAGAATATCCTACCCCTACACCATTCTCTACCCCTGCTCCAGCTGAAAAGCTTCTTATTCCGGAAGTGGTCCTGAAAAGTAACAGCAGCATTCGGTGAGTATAGTGCTTCATCTCAAGTGCTAACCTTTTTGTTGACTTCTCTTCCAGATCCTCGCGTTCTAAAGATTCAGCCAAGTCGTCTGTCGCCAGCACAGTATCCAAAGAGAGCCATCGGGGCAAGAATAAAGCGAAGGAGATTCCCCAATTCTTAATGGTGCTGCTTGACGAGAGGATTGACAAAGAAACCAGGACGTGGCATGGGTATGTTTCGATCATTGCTCTTTCTGTGTTTACTGAGGTCTTCTCTAGTCTCGAGCGACAAATGTCAAGGTCCTCCACTAAATCGGCCAGTCGCGTGTCATTGTGGGATGGCCCCCTTGCTCGTGATACAGGTCGCTTACTTGCTTATCCTCCTCATCCAGACGAGGAGGAATCTTCCGACGATGACGATGACGAATGGGATAACTCTCCCGTCATTCCGCCACCTCCTTTGTTTGCACGCTCCATTTCCGAACCACGCCAATTTCCTCCATTAATCCCACCTCCCTTACCTGGATTCAGACCCCCTGTCTCTCTCAGTGGGTCCCCAATTGGGTCTTTCACAAACCTTTCCTATGGGCCCACCGGTCTACCCCCTGGTCAGATGACATATCCTTCCTCGGCATATGCACCTTCAGCATACATGTCTCCATTCCATTCGCCTGGTGCACCTCTCATTCGAACCCTGTCTCGCAATGGCTATCCACCATCCTTCCAACAGTAGATCAGAGGTGGTCTGCACACTTCTCCCTCATTGCCTTCGCTATGCAGTTCCTTCTGCCATTTACCGCAATCACGGGAACCCTGCATAGAAACAAGCAGCATTATCCTTAATGCT